GGCTCAAACGCATCAATTGTAATCGATAGCGAGCTCCCGTAATGGTTTCGTTCGGTTTGAGCAGCTCATAATAAATTACACCCAGCTGATCCCACCAAATGCAGAACAGAAGCTTCGAACCATGGATGTTCGGCTTTGTCGACGATGTTGATGCATGGCCGGGCTTACTCCAAGATCTTTTACGCTTAGGGTTATCATAGTGTATCCACTTTTCATCGCCAGTTACGATACGATGCAAAAACCCTTTCCTTTTCTGCCGTTGAAGCAGCTGTTCACACGTGAAAAGACGCCGTTCGACTTCTCTCGGCTTCAATTCGTACGGCACCCAATGTCCTTGCTTTTGAATCATTCCTAATAATTTCAAACGTTTCGAAACTGTTGTGTGATCAACTCCTAATGATTCTGCAAGTTCAGTTAGCGTCTGACATGAGTCTTCATGCAGTAATGCCTCAAATTCTTCGTCTTCAAACTTTTTCGGTGCGCCAGAGTGTTCTTTATCTTCAACGTCAAAATAATTATTTTTGAAGCATCTAAACCAATCTCTGCATGTTGTTTCCGACAGAGCATGGTCGCCGTAAGTCTCAACAAGAATTCTGTGTGCTTCAGCTGCAGATTTTTTTTGAATAAAGTAGTGCAGTAAAATTCCCCGCAAATACTTTTTTGTTGGCACGAAACTCAACATGTTTAACACTATGAAACAAAAAGTTGTTTACACTTCGGCGAGATGACTGAATTTCAAGCTTGCTTAGTTCCTTATCGATATGTTCCCATCTTCAACTACACGCACGCAGTTCTGTTAACGCCATCCGTTGAAAAACAGCGAGAACTTATTCAAGGTCCTAATATCATAATACTCTACATCAAGATTATCACAAGAAAAGCATAATTTTCCTTTTATAATTATATATGAAATAAAAAATCTGAAAAGTTTCTAAAAAGTTAAAAATTATTCAAAAATTTTGTAAAATATCTTTATAAAAATTTACGAAATTTTTACTGAAATTTACATAAAAATTCAGAAAAATTATATTGAAAATTGTAGGAAAAATATTTATCAGAGTGATATGGTATAAAAATATTTTTCTCTGAATTTTTATATAATTTTTCAGTTTTTATATAAATTTCAGAATAATTTTTTAACTTTTTAGAAAGTTTTTCAAATTTCTTATACAAAAATTTTTTATATATCTAAATTCTAAAATATTCTAAGATTTCTCATTCTACAATTCTGATAAAATTTTAAGGCTAGTATTCATAGTCGGTTCTTATTTTAAGACCGTCTTAAGTAATGTCTTAAGTCGCTGATGCGGCCCTCTGATTGGTTCATAACATCTTAAGATTGTACTTAAGACCGTCTTAAATATAAGATCCGACTAAACAAAATTTAAGATATTTTTTTCAAAAATTATGAAAAGAAAACTTAAAAATCTTAGTATTTTTCAAAATTCACATATATGGAAAATTCTAAGAAAAAATTTTTTATAACAAGTGCAAAAAAATATCAAGACTATCTTTTCTTTTACAAGTTAGAAAAGAAAGACGCATGCATTTTTTATCTTGCTCAAAGTTGCATTGTTCTTCGCACATTTAAAACAATCTGGAGCAATCTAGAGCAAGTGCACGTTTACACCTGTACCTAACCTCACCGCAAATTGCTCTTAACGACTCGATGCGTGACAGGTGTTTACAAAACTGACGATTATATCCGTTTGTGATTTATTAATTTACTTTGAAAAGAAATGTGGGCACATTACCGTGCTATGTAATTACAAATGATACCACGATCGTCACGATATTTGATATAATCGGCACATAAACATAATAAATGGG